ATGGAAACTATTTTTGTTCCAGAAATGTCGGACCTTGACTTTTGATTTTGTATACGCAAGGGAAATTAGCTGGACTCTCAAGGACATGTCCAGTCGGGCAATTGGGAGGTGGAATTCGCTATCTTGGAAATTATCGCAAGTTTTTATGTTGAAGTTACCTTGATTTTTTTGTCATAATCGTTGTGTTTTATCGCTCAACCAACTGCATAAGAAAAGAGCAGTTTCTAATAATTATGAAAAGAGAAATGAAAGTTTCTATGTTTTCTACCACTTCTATAAAGTGGTAAAAAACATTATGATCTCTTACCACGTAGTAACGGCTACATCCATCGAATTATTCTAATAATTACATTATAATATTCATTGTTGAAAAGTACATAACACTGGATAATCCAATAAGTATAATAAGGAGAACTGTGCCTTTCATATACATACAGTGCATTTCTTTAATGTCCCCCCTTTTATTTTTTGAACGGGTCAACCCAAAAATTTTAAATTTGAAGTGAAATTGACAGATGACACTTTCAAGATGGCGACTGGGAAAAAAATTAAATAGAGATGGGAGTCTTGTGACACATCATTTTGAAGCTCCTGACGAATACTTTACAACTCTAGAATATGAAGTCAATATCTTCACCTACTACAAAATGGCGGAACATTTGATAATTTCCTGAAGACAAACACATAAATATCGATATTTCTAGAAATATTCCTTTCAATCTGCCATATGGCAATTCCAACAACCCGATAAGGTTTGTTAAGTACTTTTTTGTTTATAAAAACGACAAAAATGTCAGTACGACAAAGAACATCATTGTTCAGTTAGAATAATCTCATTCAGTTTTCGGTTTTATTGGTAGAAAGGTACCACGTCAACAATCTCTAAAATGATCAATTATCGTCCATTGGAAAAAAAAAAGTGAAGCGATTTTTGTTTATGGTGCGACGCGTGACTTTCACGAGACCGAAAGGATTTTCAAAGAATGTTTTCCGAATCGTCCTATCTGTAGAAAATATTTGAGAGAACTTGTATCCAAATTCACAACTACCGGTAGTGTACATAACAAAAAGCCCCCAGGTCATCCGTCCATTCCGAAAGAACAGCAAGTGCAAATAATGGGTGAGATGGTAGTAAATTCTGCCCAACGTTTGGGCAGGAATATTAGGAAACCATATTGTAGGACCTCTATTTATTGATCAAAATTCAACAGGGGAACTGTATTTGAGTATGCTGGAAACTACTGTTGACCCTCTCATCAGTGAAATCGTAGAAGAGAATCCTATTGAATTTGATATGGTTATTATATTTCAACAAAATGGAGCACCACCACATTACTCCAGACAAGTAAGAAACTATTTGGATGCTACTTTTCCCGGTCGTTGGAGTCACCGTCGAGGTCCTACAGAATGGCCAGCCCGCTCGCCAGATTTGACACCTTTGGACTTTTTTTATGGAGCTATTTGGAGCAAAAGGTGTACGAAACTGAACATGGATACACTGCAGGGAATAATAGATATTTGTAAGATATTGACGTTACTGTGTTCGAAAATTGAGGTAACATATAAAGGGAAAAAATATATGTAAACACATAAAAGTGGAGAAATATTTCAACAGTAAAATTGAGGGTCATGGTAACAATCAAGAACGTAAAAAAATATAATGTCAAATACTGACAAGAACGTTAATAAAAGAATAAAAAAACATCTAACCCAAAATTCCTCAAGGGTGTAGCAAATTTTTTCTATGAGAGCAGCTTTCAGTCTTGATTTGAAACTATTGACATTATGAAATTTTGGTCCAAGGAACAGGTGTCTTTTTGGTTAATGGTGGTTCGGTGCATATGGGGTGTTAATAAGTTTTTAGAGCGAGTCAGGTATTTATGCCGATTAGATGTAAAATTATCACCATCTTAAACATGTATATGCATTATTCATAAATATAAATACCCGCCACAGTGAGTATTTTGAATTCTTTGAGAAGGTTTCTTCAAGATTGCCTCCGTCCTATGTGAGCGATAGTTCTGGTGGCATGATTCTGTAGTGTAAAAACCCTCACTGTAGATTATTCAGTGCCCTAGTTCAGTATTCCATATCGTACATGACGGTGTATTTTTCCATATAACAGATTCAACAAAACCTGTTTACTGAAAATATTCGACATAAACCTCAGTGCATAGCAATTTCAGCGGAGTTTGTCGCAGAGTTTCAATGTGAGGGATCCAGGTGAGCTTGTAGTCTAGTGTAAGACCTAGCATCTCTGTTGTTCAGTAAGATTCAACATGCAACTCCTCGTTCTCATAAATGTTGAAATTGTCATGAGCAGAATTCAGTGAAAATTGCATCAGTGATGCAGTGATGAATGATTTTTTTGCCCACGTTACTACCTGTTCGTAGACATTCTCTGATTTTTTTGTAAGTGCTATTGCATTGTTCTTCTTGATGAGGAAGTTGGTATCGTCTGCAAAAGCAACCACATATATTTCCATGGGATTATTCATGAATTGAAACAGTCAATCGCGAATATGAGAAACAGTAAGGGACCAATAATTGAGCCCTGTGAAACACCCTGTTCAGTGTTTGCTAACTGAAAGAGTGAAAAATCGGGTATAATCAAGTCAAGTTTCAGGGATCGTTCGTTGAAAGGTAAGACCTCGTTAATCCTTAGCTCGTACAGGTTTCGACTTTTGAGGGCTGTCGTTCGTAGGAGGTGACAGCTGGTTTTAGTAATCTTTGGCCAAATTCAAATAAACATCATTGACTTATTTTTTATACAATAACAGAAACATCAAAAGGGAATCAATAGTCAAGAAATATCTAATTCAAATAGTAATTGTTTCTTGAATAAAAAAAAAATAAAAATATTCCGATACCGGGAATCGAACCCGAGCCTCCTGGGTGAAAGCCAGGTATCCTAGCCACTAGACCATATCGGATGATAAGAAATCATTATGTTAAACAGTCCATGAATTATATCTCAATTGTAGTAAATGTTGCAAATCTGAATGAAAAGCAATATTATATTTTTTATTTTATCTCGTTTTTTCTATCGATCTAATTTTTCTAAGATGTCGTGGAAAAAGTTGATATTTCGAGACGAAAGTCAAAACCTCTAGAAGTCGAAAGTTGAATTTCAATTGGTTACATATTTTTTCCAAGTCCAGATATTAGTTTTCTACAATAAAATTTCAATCATCCAAAACATTTTGTCATATTTCCAAAATCACTGGATATATCAATAAAGTTCAGATAATTTTTGATGCCCTCGATAAAATGAATAAAAAAATGTATGCACGATATACAGATGTTTGTAAAAAGTTCATTTCAAACTTATCTGATTTCTCCCTCCCTTCGGATATTTCCACATTTTCTTCCTATGAAAATACATAAAAAGAAAAAAAACTGCCTCTTCCATTTCAATATTCATAAAATGGTCATATACCTATAATGTGATAATTGAAAAGTCATTCAAACGAATATGATATTGATCGCGATGAAATTAAATATGTTAGTTACCTATTTTAACCATTTCATGGACACTGTTATTGCCCTTCACACCATAATCTGTCTTGAGAAATATCACGAAATAAAAACTCCCGCACGAAAAAATAAATTCAAGCGACCTCACAAACTGACGCGACACGCTTGATGAAGAACTTTGCAGCTACATTGATTTTATTATCAAATAATGAATCACTTTGGAGATTGAGGTTACGTTTGTGTTCGGTGTTGTCTTCAGGTAGACAGGAACTTACCTTTTTCAGAAATGAAACCGATAGATAGTTCTGAACATAGGTATTTTCATTTGGGTAAATTCTATCGAAGGTTATTATTATTAATCACAAGCTGAATGTTTGGAAAAATTGATTTTCGTATAATTTGATGTTCATATGGAAGTAGTTGTTATGAAGGACTTGTTTCGTTCGTGTAATTCGATGTCCATGTGAAAGTATTTGTTTTGAAGGGGTTTTTACTTCCAAATTGTACCTGAAAGAAAATTCCGTGTATGCTCTATATATCTTTCTGAAGAGTTTTCATCACGACTATTCAAATGAGCTGCAAGTATATATGTTGTCCAACAACGATTCAGCCAAGCTAGCGTAGAGATACGCAACATGTGGAAACCTTTAATCAAGCGAAAAATGGACAACTCCCACTAAATCTGTGAAGCGGGAGAGAGAAGAGGGGATAGATGAAAGCGTTCGAATGACTTATAAATAGTAATCTCTCGGAGGAGTAGTCCAGTCATCACCTGAAGACCATTGTGGATACTAACAATCGAAACGCCCTGAAGTAACTTGGTTCAAAATCATTTTAATTTTCATTTCATTTTTGATTGTTCAGTTTTCATTTTTTTTACTTTCTCATTTTTATTTCATTGTAGTTCCATTTCACGGTTCATTTCTCAATATAATTGTAATTTTTCAGCTGTCCTAATTTTCAATCTCAAATGTTCTTTCAGAGATTTCAAATAATCTGTATCTGTAGAGTAGGGAAGGTGAGTGTAAGGCCACATCCTCCTGAGGAGTTGTCCTCCTAGGTCATCATCCATCCTGTCCTTTCCAAGCAGATGGATAGGTCACTGAGAGATATCTCCTTTATATCGGCAGGTGTAGGCCAAGACTCGTCGAACACACACTCTCTTATTGACGATAACTTCGGGCTCTCGCATAGGACATACCTGATAGTTTCATTTTCCTGTTTACACTTCCTGCATAGAGGTGTGTCCACTAGCCCCATATTATGGAGGTGTTTCCTTAGTTGATCAGCCGCTTCCTTGGCAAAGAGTCGGCAATCCACTTACCTTTACCTCTGTCGTGCCCTTTAACCCACCTCAGGATAATGTTATTATCTACCGAGACTTTAGCTAAATCATGGTGACACTCGATTTCAAATCATAGTACATCATATTAGATAATAACAGTGCAAACTAGTAAAATTCACCATGAAACATTGTCAACTACTTTCAAACAAATATCATCATTATTATTATCAATACTTACCAGTGGCCCAATGAACCACGGTATGTTTCTCGTTATCAACTGCGTTCACATCTGCGCTATTCGCCAGTAGAAAAGTCACAAGCTGTATATTTCCAGCGATGACAGCAAGATGAAGAGGAGTGAATCCGTCTTCATCTTTTCCATCTAGCAAGTCGGGGGCAGCCATGACTAAAAGATCCGCGGCGTGGGCGGCGCAAATGTTGTCGCTAGTGCAGCAGTAGTGGAGCGGAGTTTTCCCTGTACGATCCAAGTCGTAAAGCGAAGATTCCTTGAAAAAAAAAAGACATTCAGGAAGGATTTCATATCAGGATGATAAAGGTTCGGAATAAATTATTGTTACCAACTTGTCGGGTACAGACCGCCCGTGGATCAACGGAATAGATGTTAGACCGTTAGAATAGCCAAAAAGTTTACCAAATGTGATTACGACGACGAATAATCATTCTAGAGAGAAATTGAACGGTTCCTATGATATTCGAATTATATTCTTGAATCAACAGGCGACCGCACCCTTGTCTCGGCATTCAATTTGGATTTTAATACATCGGCGGCGGATGCACATCTTCACCGGCAGCAGGAGGTTACATATCTCAATGAGGATCTGAAGGTGATTTCGAATTGAGGTGGAAGTAACCAGGTTCAATTCGATGCGACTAAAACTCAGGTATCGATATTCCCCAAAAAAATAAGAGCTATGTACCGGATAAAATAATTTCAGGACATAAAATTCTGCTTTCTGCTTCGATGAGTTTGTTGGGGTTTAAAATGGACACCAATATGTCTTGGCACAATCATGTCGCTGGAATTGCAAGGGCTGCTTCTCATAAGCTTGGAACACTGTTTCGAACCAGAAAGCTGTACACACCTCAGCAACTTTTAATGCTTGATAACGCTTAGATCAGACCTACTTTGGAGTATTGTAGTATTGTATGGAGCTTCTGAAGGTGCTGGGTTTCATCCAGGCAAGATCCATCCGCCTGATTGGAGACACGAAAATCACTTACAACTTTGATGGTCTGGAACATCGAAGAAAGCTGGGATATGTGTACCTCTTTCATAGATACTATCACGGAAGGTGTTCAATATTGGAGACACGAAAATCACTTACAACCTGCTTGATGGTCTGGAACATCGAAGAAAGCTGGGATATGTGTATCTCTTTCATAGATACTATCACGGAAGGTGTTCAAGTGACTTGACACAATCGATTCCACCAAAAGCGGTACAACCCAGTACATTTCGAACTTCACTATTTAAGAACTCTCTCATGCGAAATGAACTTTCTGAAAAAGTTTTTCCAAATGAATTCAGTCTTCAGCTGTTCAAGTCCAACGTGAATCGCTACTTTCACACAAGCACCACTCTTAGAGCACCTAGAGGATTTTTGTGTAGTGCTTGTTTTTTGATTGAAAAACAAGAATTATAAGATCAGGGTTCATGATTCTTACTGTAAATTTGTTTCCCAATTAATGAGGTTTGTGAAATATTTGGAAAATTTAACTCTATACAACACTAGTTTCAGCTGAGAACCTGATCCTTCAGTTATATTTAGGAAATGTGTGACTGTGCCTCAAGTTCTTGTCTTGTCATATTATGTATCTCATCTCTCGCTATGACTATATTTTCAGAATTTTGGAAAAGTAGCTTCATCAAACCCATTCATAAATCAGGGGATGAGAATTCCTCTTGCCCTAAATTTATTGAGTCTTTACAATGATCTGAATCTTTCGACCACCTCCTATAGAAAAAAGACAGTTTGAAATTGATTGTTCTAATAATCATCCAGGCGTTGAAGAGACGAAGAATCGACGACAAACGCTTCAGGTGATTGGACTGCATGCTTAGAAGAGGACTACAATACATAACCATCATGGGAGATATAGTAGTGGCACAGGTAGTGAAGGGATATCCTTAGGGAGAGATTTTGACTCCCCTATCGTAACTAAGTGAACCGATGGCGAAGGGCTGAGATTATCTGCGATGTGGAGGATTTGAGTCCATAAATTTTCATCGACAAACCATCTTCAGCTATGAGGCCCTACACCTGCCGATATAAAGGAGATGTTTCCCAGTGACCTGTCCACCTGCCTGGAAAGGACAGGATGTACGATGACCTAGGAGGACAACTCCTCGGGAGAATGTACAATGGGTCACATGAGGCCTAAGTGCTGTGGGCTTACACTCACAGCTGAAAAATAACAATTATATTGAGCTGAGATTATCTGCGATGTGGAGGATTTGAGTCCACAAATTTTCATCGACAAACCATCTTCAGCTATGAGGCCCATTTCTGTTTGAATGGGTACGTGAATAAACAAATGATATCAATCCACATAAGATCCAAGAGTGTCTAATGCATCCTGAAAAAGTCACTGTTTGGGGTGAATTTTGGGCTGGTGGCGTTATCACTCATATTTCTTCCAGAACGATGTTGCCAGGCCATCACTGTTAACGGCGAGCACAATAGGTTGGTGGTCCCTCCTCTCCACAATTTTTCTGGAGAGAGAAGCTAGATGGACTGCATATAGACTTGTGCAATCGCACAAATCAATTTAATGCGAAGTGCAACAGAATGTTGGTTGACACTGGAAGTCACAGCATTCTGTAAATGACCTCTGACTTTATTCCTCCAACTGTTAAGTACGAACTGCCTTATAAAGTACTGTTTTCGAGTAGAGAGAACTGGATCCTCCAGGAAATGGAAATATTTAAAAGCAGATAGTTGTTGGTTCACAGTTGGATCAAAAACACCTTCCGGTTCTAGTGCAGGTGTTTTTAGTCGCAGACCCAGAACAAAGATATTAACCTGCCTAGGAACGTATGCGACTGTATTTCAAGCGGAAATTTACGATATTGAATTGTATGTGGAGAGATTGGAAGAATCCAACCTCATACACAAGTCAATAAAAATATTCTCGGACAGTCAAGCGGCGTTGGAAGTTCTTGGCAAGTATCGAGCAACGTCTAAATTGGTAGCAATATGCCAAAAACGACTCTCCTCGATAGGAAGACTTTACAGATTGTCTCTGGTCTTGATGCCTGGCCATACTGGCCTGAAAGGCAATGAAGCTCTGTCTCCCTTGTGAATGAGGGTACTGCAACAGCTTAGTCGGACCAAAACCTGTCATTGCTTTCATCGCTTTAGGCTTTTTCAAACAAAGATTGAACACCTGGATGGCAAGAAGGCTTTTATTCACTTTTCGAAGCTTGATACCAAACAGTTATTGGACTACAGTAGGGATGAATTACGATGTCTAAGAGGCCTTCTTACAGGTCACTGTCTTTTGAATCATCATACGCAGAGACTCGGACTGTTGGAAGACAGTGTGTGTTGCCTCTGTTTGGAAAATGATGAAACAGCAGAGCACATACTTTGTGCCTGCCCCGCTGGGGACCAAATCAGGTTTTTAGAATTCAGCATATCCGTTTTTCACCATCTGACGTGAGAGACCACTCACCAAATAAACTAATCGGCTTCGTCAAGAAGCTGGGTTTATTTAGTCGAGTGTGAATAGGTGTGAGCCACAATAAACCCTTACGGGTTGCGGTGAAGGGTCGAATAAACCCAGTCACTTCGGACCTAACCCAACTATAGGGTGGTGATTACCAAATTATTTTGGCCGGAATTGAATGATCTGGACACCAACGACATGTGTGTTCAACAGGATGGCGCTACGTGCCATACAGCTCATGCCACATTTGAATTCTGCACGAGCGTTTTGAGGGCATGGTCATCTTACATGGAGATGATGTGAACTGGCCACCGAGATCGTGCGATTTGACTCCGTTAGACTTTTTATTGTGGTATTTTTTCAAGCCACAAGTGTATGCGAATAAACCACAAACCACAGCATTTCTCAAAGCCAACATAACCTATGCCAACGCGCCATCGTCATGAAAAAGTGGATTTTTCGGATGCGGTCCACCCAGAAAAGTTGTGGTAGATATTTGAACGATGTTATATTTCACACATAATGGCATCATTTGGTCATTCAAACGAATGAAATATTTCGATTATATCTCACACAGAATTTGTTTCGTTCAAATTTAAAGATAGAAAGCGCTTTATGAAGGACCCTGTATATAAGAGGTAAACGCTTTCAGAATTTTTGTGTTTCCTATTTCTAGTCTCCAAACTAGTAACCTCTTGTTCACTAATGAATTATTAATTAATAATAATTGATAATGTGATTATTATACCTGCTAAATGATATTCTCAAATGTTCTTGAATCACACACACGTTTTCACTTTGTTGTTGTGAATTTGTTTTTCTCAGTAGCCCGCGTTTAAACACAAAATATATTTCTCTTTCACAGACATAGTCAGTTACAACTGTTTATAGAAACTTTTGGAGAAGACAAGCGACAAAGTTGCCATGACAATATTGAATCATTATTTCGAAAGTGCATTCAACCGCAGGGGTAGTTTTTATCAAGCATGCAAGTTTATAAGTCAGAGAAGACTTTCATGTCATCATTCATCGAGAATTAGTTCAGAATTATTCAGGAAAAGAAGTGATACAGGATATTCATTCATTCACTTGTTTATTTATTTATGTTTACACTCCTTCATTTACAAATTAACCGTGAACTGTTTAAAAACTTTTCCACAAACTAATAATGCATTTGTATTCGGTCCACAGACACTCTATACCTTTTTCGTTTTTCATGAGCTACATGATTTCTCGGAATGTTTTCTATGAAATATTTCTTAGGTTATTCAAAAAAAACTTGAATATTAAGTTTTTTTCCCAACACTAAACAGTTATTTTAACACCTCGACATATGTTTCGATCACCAAGTGATAATCTTCAAGAGGAAGATTGAACTAATCATACTTACAAAGCTATCCTTATTTATACCATACAGTTATACAGATATATCATACATAGATACATGTAGCTATCTTTTCTAGGTATCTACGTATTGAGTGTCTCAAATTAATTTGCCTTATCTACTAGTCTTAAAATAATTTTACAATGCGTCCTTAAGTAATAGTCAAGTAAATCAAATAATTGAAATATGCTAAGCTATAAAAATTAATTTCACATATTGCCTTATCTTCTAGTCTTGAAATAATTTTACAATGTTTTCTTATGTAATAGTTAGGTGAATCTAGGATTGAAATATTATAAGCTATATATAATATCAATTTCACTATATTTCCCTATCTACTAGTCTTAAATTCATTTTACAATGTGTCCTTATGTAATAGTCAGGTAAATCTAATAATCAAAATACTATTTTAACAAG